CTTCCCCTGAGGCTGAGAGAGTGTGACTCGCCTAAGGTTACCCAGTGGCTTTCCGTGGCCGAGCTGGGAATCGAACCCAGGTCTCCAGAAATGCAGTCCGACGCCCAAACCACTACGCTGCGCCATCTCTATCCGTTTGTTTATTATATAGCTCTAATGTTTCTGCCAACTATAGCAATGCTACACACTGGATGATCTGAGACGAAAGGCCGAGATAACTGTATAACCGAGAGCCAGCGTAGTAGAGGTTTGAGCATTGGACTGTGGGTTCGGATCCTGGCTTGGTCACTAGACCCACTGGGTGACAGGGCAAGTCACACTGTCTCAGCCTCAGAAGATGGCAGTAGCAAAAAAAAAAAAAAAAAAAAAAAAAAAAAGCCCTCCCTTCTGTTGTTGTCGTCTGTCTTCAGGTAGTTTCTGATTTATAGCGACCCTGAGGTGAAGCTATAAGGTTTTCTCGGATAGATTTGTTCAGAAGAAGTTCGCCATCCTCTGAGGCTGAGAAACTAGATGAGGAAAGCCCTGTGATAGGTTCGCCTTAAGGGCTCCATAAGTTGGGAGGCGACTTGAAGGCACACACTTCATCATCATCATCATCATCATCTTCATCATCCCTGCTCTTTTTTTGGGGGGGGGGGAAGGGGGACTTTTCTTATTAAAGCAGCTTCTTCTGTCGCAAAGAGGGAGACAACGAGGGGGATGGTGAAGGAGCGTCCTTTTTGGCCCTGGCTCGCCCCTCTTGGGGCGGCAAGAAAGAACGATGGACTGGCTCTTTGGGCTCTTTGGGTTTAGGGATCCCTCCTTCCTTCCTTCCTTCCTTCCTTCCTTCCTTCCTTCCTTCCTTCCTTCCTTCCCACCATCTCCTTCTGCGGCGTGGCAAGTTTCTAAAACGAAGGAGCCGCTCGGCTTGGCGGCATTGTTAGGAGGTCGCCCCGAAAACCTTGGACGATCCTCTGATAGGCACCGACTGTGTGGTGGTTGTGCTGCGCCTTCAAGTCCTTTGCCTTTGCAGACTGCTAGAAATAGTGCACTTTAAATTGAGGTACTGCCCTGGCTCAGTGCTAGGGAATCATGGGAATTGTAGGTTTTTTTTTCCTGAGACATTGAGCCTTCTCTGTCAGAGAGCTCTGGTGCCACAATAAACTACAGTTCCCATGACTCCCTAGCACTGAGTCAGGGCAGTTAAAGTGGACTCAATTTGCACTATTTCTGGCAGTCTGCAAAGGCACTTATTTTAGTGAGATTCCAAGGCAAATCTACCATGGGATTTTCTTGGCAAGTTTCTTCAGAGGGGGTTTGCCATTGCCATCCTCTGAGGCTGAGAGAGTGTGCCTTGTCCAAGGTTACCCAGTGAGTTTAGAAGGCAGAGCTGGGATTCCAACCCTGGTCTCCAGAGTCACAGTTTAATGCTCAAACCACTACTCCATGCTGGCTGTCTGATCTTGGATAAAAGGGTGGATGGAGAGTTATTCCCCCCTCCAAGTTCCTGTGTGGCACCAGGTTAAAATGTTTAAAATGTTTTGAAGAGCTCCCTACAGTCTGTCTGCCTGTGTTTTTATTTTGGAGCCCTGTGTTCCTCTCCCGATTGCAAAACCCTCCCCAAAAGCTTCTGCTGCCCATTTACTTGGAGAGAGGTGTTTGGAGAGAAAGATGGTAGCACTGTAATTATCTAAAGGTAGTTATAAGTGGCTTCTTAAACCAATCATTGTGTTGTAGGCTGCAGTCCAAGGCACCCTGTAAGTATCAGCCAGGTGGATTTTAGTGCCCTAAGAGACCTAAGTTAAGAAAGAGGTGTTGGTCTGTAGATACATGGTACTCCCTGGTAGAGAAAAAAAAATTAATAGAGTAACATGGTTGTTGATGAGAAATTGCTTGGGGTAGGAAAATATGTCAAAATGCAGTAAACATCCATTATGCACCACACAGCTTGGTCCAAATTGTCTTTTCACATAATTTACAGTACTGTCTTATACATGTGAGCCAGTGGGGCATAGTGTTTTGAACATTGGACTATGAATCTGGAGACCAGGGTTCAAATTCTGGTTCAGCCATGAAACCTACTGGGTGACTTTGGGCAAGGCACACTCTCTCAGCCTCAGAGGATGGCAATGGCAATCCCCCCTCTGAAGAAACGTGCCAAGAAAACCCTATGACAGGGTTGCCTTAGGGTCACCATAAGTTGGAAACTACTTGAAGGCACACAACAACAACAACAACTTATACATGTCTACTCATATGTGAATAAGCCCACTGAATTCAGGGAGATTGCTCCCCAGGTGAATTTGTACAAGATTGAAGCCTGTATCTGCAGTCCTGTGCCACGGTGGGGAATTAGTTATGTTCAACTCTGTGTGACTCATTTCTGAGAAAAAAACTATCCACAATTGTGTGTTATCTTCTAAAAGTTAAGTAACTGCTATTGATTGTCATGGGTTTATGCCCATTTCATCAGATACATGTTGGTCTTTTAAGGTGCCACAAGTCTCTTGTTTTTTTCTGCATCAGATTGAACATGGCGGTTCCCATTTTGCTCTTCCTGTTAGTTCTCACTAATGCTACCTCACTGCTCTTATTTCATGTGAGGATGAGAATGAGAATGATAAACAACTTTCTCCCTGGGTAGAATGTGTCTTTACTCCTAGACTGCTGAACAGAGGAAGATGTGTTAGGTATGTTTATTGCTGTTGTGTTTTTGTGGGCCTTCAAGTCACTTCTGATGACACCCTAAGGGGAACCTATAATGTTTTTTTTTGTTTGCTTGTTTTTGTGGCAAGATTTATTTAGAGGAGATTTATTATAGCTTTCCTTTGAGGCTGAGAGAGTATGACTATTCTGAGATCACCTAGTGGGTTTTCATGACTGAAACCAGTTATTCAAAATTTGGTCTCCCAGAGTCCCAGTCCAGCACTCAAATCACTGCTCTACACTGGCTTTCAGTTTATATCCCTCTTTAAATATCTGTATTTTTGAGTGAGGCCATAATTAATCTGACACTTCCAGATCAGTCCATATCCTCTAGGTTCAGTTGATATTTACTTTCCAGCAAGTGTCTTTGGGATTACATTTTAAATTTGTCAAACTTCCTTCATTCAGTATTCTCTGAAGTGGAGGTCTTGGAAAAACAAATAACACATAAGCAAGCCTATTTGAACTAGAAAATGGAGTGGATAAGTTTGCTGCATTTATATGAAAGGGTGTGATGAATGATTTGGGAATTGAAGAAAACCAGATGCTTGTTTTTGTGGTCCTAAAAATATTGTGTTCGCTCAGCTCATGTGTTTCAGTTTCCTAGGACAAAACTTTGATCACTTCTAGGACTAATGGGTGTAGGATGGTTCTACAAAGTGCAGGTATAGGCAAAAGCACCATGCATGTGACTTGACTGTGTAAGTCATAATACATGAGGGATGTGTCAGTAACAGTTTGTGATTTAAGAAGGGCTGCAGTAAAGAACCTGGATTCTTGATTCCAGGAAAACAAAGAGGGGAGTTACAGGCTTACAGCATTGCAGAGCTATGATTCTGTGATATTTCTTCAATGCAGTCAGTGGCTAATACTGATCAATCTGGGGAAATTTCCCAAAGCAAATATATAAAATGACAATCGACACCTGTATTGGTGAGAGGGGAAAAATAAAAGTCTGATAGGACAGAAAAGGCTAATTTTGGTCTTGACATTTTGCTGGCATAATTGCAGGCAGAACTGCTTCTGTTAACATAATTGGGAGCAGGGAGGTGATTCCTATCCAGCACAAACCCCTGTGTACCCTCAAAACCTCCTCCACTATATGGGAAAACTTCTCTAAATCATGGAGGCAGTAAGGAGAAAAGAAACTCATGCTGTGAAGTTTTCTTGTGATTAAATGTTGCATGGTGCACCGGACTATATTGTTACATTTGATCTCTGTCTTTATTGTTTTGCCTTTTCTTTTGCTGTTATGTTAGTTTTATTTGTATATTTCTTTGTCTCAAAGACTCAAAGAACATTTTGTAAATCTACAAATGCTGTTTGCAGTCATGGACAAATGGTCCATGTAGTGCACCATAGTGTTCTAAACAGGGGGTGGCATTTTGTTGACGAAAGCCTATAAAGGTGGAGACGTCACTCTCGCTTGTCCCTCAGTATCTCATATCCAGAGGCAATAGTCTTTGATTGTGAATCTTCCCCTTTCAGCTCTCATTCAAGGGAGTATGCTGAGCTGAGCTAATTAAGAAGCTATTAACTAATAGAGTTGCTAGACATACTGAGTGGCGTTGCTTTCATGTGGGGATTGGAACAAACTGTCATATTTAGCATGTACGGCCCTTCTCTCTTTCTCTCTTTGGCTAGTTCTTATACGCCAAAGTATTGAAACAATGGCAATTCTGTTATCTCTGCTACCTCTCTGCTTAACAGAAAGTTTGAGGTTCTGCACAGTCTTTTGAAGAAAGAATATGGATACTTGAGACATTTTTATAACATAACACATTTTTATTTATAATGTATTTAGTTATTATTTACTATTTGAGTAGGTCACAGGCCTGAACCTACAGGACCTGAGCAGACCAGTAGAGAACAGGGGTTCTAGGAGATGTCTCAGTCACAGGGTTACCATGGATCAGGGTCAACTGGAAGGCAGTTAACAACAACAAAAGGGAAGGCATGCTCTCAGAATCTTCTTGTCTTTAAAACAATGGCCAGTAGCTATGCATGTGAGAGTTTTTTTGACGCTCATACTCCAGCTGCTCAAGGTCTTTCCATTCCATCACCCAAGCAATTGTGATCCATTGTGGATAGCAGCCATCTGCAACTGAAGAAACATTCAGCTGTTAATGGTCATTGAAGGAAACATCTTTAGTTGTTAGTTGGCACAGTAGTTAAATGCTGGTACTGCAGCCATAACATTGTCAGTTTGATTCCAGGGCTCCAGGTTGACTCAACCTTCCATCCTTTCATAGGTCGGTAAAATTAGTACCCAGATGGTTGGGGGCAATTGGCTTAGATGTTGTAAACTGCTTAGAGAATGCTTAGTTCACTATGAAACCGTATGGAAATGTAAATGCTATTGTGAAGTCTAAAGCTTTCACAGCCAGCATCCATAGTTTTTTTGTGGGTTTTTTTGGGATATGTGGCCATGTTCTTAGAAGAATTTATTACTGATGTTTCACTAGCATCTGTGGCTGGCATCTTCTCTGAAGATGCCAGCCACAAATGCTGGAGAAACATCAGGAATAAACTCTTCTAAGAACACAGCCACATAGCCTGAAAAATCAACAAAAAATATGTAAATGCTATTTCTATTGCTATTGAACAACAATGAGACAGGACGTCATCTCATTTTAAGGCCATGCTGCTATTTTCTTCCTTGAAAGTGACAAATAGGAGCAGTAGTTATCTCTACTTATTAATACATTCTGCCTGTATTCCACATTGCTACTGCCAAATAGCAGCAATAAGCCACATCCTTGAATTTTTGGCTGCTTTGGTTTCTGAGAGTGCTGCAAGTTGACCTGTTCCCTGTTCTCCCTTATAATGCAGTCTGTGGGATCATGGGGATGTTATGAAATTCTTCTTGTTCATCCTCTAACAACTGGTTGGTGATGAGAGCCCATGCAAAGTGCTCACCCTACTCTCCATCAGTAAATGGATGAATTGCAGGACATGTTGACAAATGGGCCTATACAGACTGCCACAAATAATCCATCTTGAGGCCACTTTAACTGTCCTGGCTCTGTGCTATGGAATCATGGGAATTGTAGTTTTTCTGAGTCATTGAGCCTTCTCTGTCAGAGAGCTCTGATGCCACAATAAACTACAATTCCCATGATTCCTTAGCACTGAGCCAGCAAAGTTAAAGTGGTCTCAAGATGGATTATTTCTGGCAATCTGTATAGCCCCAAAGTTCAGTTAACATATGTGGATCAGCCATGACTATATAATACCATTTACATCTTACTACTTGTAAGATTGAAAATTTGCTGAGTTCTAATAGGAATGTATAGTACAGTCATGAAAAACTCCTATAAAGTTAATTTACACTAGTTAAATAAAGCATCTGTCATAATTAGTTGTGACTGAATGATTTAATTAAGTTACCTCATATATGTATTTAACTCTGGTAACATGATATTGACAGCTTATGAAAATTAATGAGTTTTTATCTGTTGCTTCTGCATGAATTCATAAATCAATGAGATAAACATGAGAATTAGATGTTGACATGTTATCTTAAAGAAATACCCCTTTAAATAAAAGCTTATGTAATATGATTGGCAGTGTTGGGGATGCAGTGATAGTCCCTACTTTTTATGGATTCTGCACTGAATTCTGCCAAACATTTTTTTCATTGTTATCCATAAACTCCTTAGCTAAGACTAAATTCATAAAATCCAGTCATATTATATATTGCCTGTGTTACAATTAATGATAATGATTTTTCTCACTGTGTGATCAT